AAACAAGGGGATTTGATAAGGGTTTTACTCATTCAATTCCTTCAGTCTCTGGAATAGTACCTTTCGGAAAATCGGGGCGGCCCATATCCGGAGTCCGGGACTACGGATGGGAAAATCCGGACCGCTGGAGTGCGCGGAATTAGCCAATCAGATTCGAGGAATTAAGATTCAGGACCGCGGATGTATTTGAGAGAAAACAAGATAATAATAATAATTTTGTTGAAAGTTCCCCCCCTCCCCCGCCCCCCACTAAGCTTTGTTTACACTAAATTTTGTCGCTTTCCCGATAATACTATTTTAATATCAGCGCATTGGAAATCTTATTTCAGTGGGATTCCCCAGCCTGCAACTTGGCAGTGAGGCTGGACAATAATTTTTTTTTCTGAATTTAGAAGGATCACAAATGCATTTTAACTTATCCTTCATGATCCAATAACAGGGTTGGGGGGGGGGATCGTAGGATTTTTAGGGGTTTTTAGGGCTAATAAAGGAAGGGGCTATTAAAATTCTAAAAAGGTTTAAGGGTGGATGAGGTAAATTTCATTGTGGCACAACCAAAATCCTCCAGCTCCCCTTCCCTTCTATCCCCATACGATTACATATCTCACCTTTGTTTCTACACCGCACGCAGGACATGTGATCTACTCACACCAACCGTGATGCGTATTGGCGATTCGCTGCAGACACTTTTTACAATAGGTGTGCTGACAACGCAACGCTTTTGGCTCCTGGAATGGTTTGAAGCAAGCTTCGCATTTAAGAATTTTCTCGAGTCTCTCTTGCGTAAAGGCGTCCATTTATTTCAGATAATTCTATGACGAGAAAATAATTGTGAAAAACGATCATGATTTTGATCAAGAAAACAAGTACATATTAGAGATCTGTCATTATATTTATTTATGGGGGAGGAGGGATCGTAAGTATATGGGGAGAGTTCAGAAAAAAAATTATTGTGACACAATAAAAATCCTCAAAACCCTCCCCTTCCCTCCTCTCCCCTAGCGATAAATAATGGTCAGTCCTTAAATATCAGTGACAGTCAATAATATTGCTTGAAATAATCTTGCATCGAAACTTAGATAACTAGTTTGGTCGGTTTTGGAACCACTCCCTTTTGTGACTACTGCGCATGCACGTAGTAACTATTGCAGTCAAGCCGAAAGTAAGTAACAGCCAATCAGCACACAAAGATAGCCAAAGTTCGGATTCTCTCGATAATAATTTACCGATAATTACCAGTATGTACTCACTAGGTATTTTGGATTGTCCATCGCCAGAGACAAACAAACAAACAAACAAACAGTGAGGAAAAAACAAAACAAAACAAAACACAACATTAACATTATATCACCACTTTACCCCATCACCAAGAACAAACACAGTCCTCTCTATTAGCAAGATGCAACACGAACTTTAAATTGAACTAACGGATGTGCTTGGCTCATGCTCATTTCGATACAGTAATAATTTTACTCTTCCCCATATTTTGAGTAGCGTAGATAGAACATCGATCGCTTGATGTGGTATAATTGATACGTTTGCACATCAAATACTATTAACACCAATTTATACATATATAAAACAATCTACACGTAGGCTATCGTCAGTCTTAAACATTGCCTCATGCTAATCCGGCAGAGTTTTGCCTTTGCAACATTAAGAAATTAAAGTATTCTGGCGCCCCTTAAAGGAAAACAAAACTTAGAAAAAACCTTCAGAGAATTATATAAATTTTTCTTCAAACCGTAGCTTTTGTCTTAAAGCAAATGTAATATTCATGGCTAGGTATTGGGCTGAATATGCCGTCTGTGGCAGACGCAAGAATTTGGCATCGCATTTTAGCTGAGTGCTCTGATAGGTTATACGGTTTTCTGCAACACTCGGCCTATATACGATGCGATTTCGTAAATTGCTGGTATTCGAAATGGAAAGTCGAGGACAGTTGCTGTTAATAATATGTGAAGACTAGCCTCCCGCTAACGACTGCTTCAGGATTAATAATCAAATATGCTAATTAAAAAGCTGCAGTACACACCCAGAAAGAAAAATACAGCTGAAGATGTAGTTGATTTCAATATCCTTGTATTAATTAGTTACCTCAGACATATGCCCCATCCAAACCAAAGCTTACGGAATATGTTTAAAGCTGTTTTGTTTAATATTGTTGAAATTTTTTTCCTCAGATAAGCTGATAAACTGATGTTTGTTGACCTCGAATGTAGCACATTAGAAATACAAGTTAAAGATTTCTTCGATCTTATATATAAGATTCGAATTCAATTTTACAGTTATCTGTTATCTAGTTTTCATTCAGTTAAAATCTGATTGAACTAAACATGTTCTGCTGGTGCGAATAGGGTGATAAATTCGGCGCTTTAACCGAATGAAGTTAAAATCAATTCATTTCAAATGTGATCGAAACAAATCACCCATGGAAAGCTGAAATTCTCAAAGCATACTCACCTTGACTATCCTTATTTTTCCACCACGAACACTCTCTCTTCTTTACCGACTGCGTTCTTATTTAATCTACTATATCTAATGTCATGAATAGCGCGGAAGAAGCCAGAGATCAGTCGCAGTTTTCCACAACTCAGGAGTTCCGGGTAGCCGATATCGAAACCGATATTGTGACGTCATTGAGGTAAAGGCACGTAATTTGATTGACCAAATATAGGGTTATCTTGCACTGTTAAAGTTATGCGGTGTTTATCTCTCTCTAGAAGCATCAACAAGACAGTCAGAAATTTAAAACCAGATTAAGGACGTAATCAAGTTGAAACTCATGGTCGTCAGTGAGTTCACTCTTGCAGCGCTCACACGTCACTACGTGGACTGGCAGATGGCGGTGCTCGTTACACAATTTCGCGCCCAGAGTCTTTTGGGCTCATTGTTAGCAGTTGGCCCCTGGCGTGAGACAAAGCACTGAAATGTCACGGTGTAGAATCGAAAGCACCGATACATTTCGGCATTGTCGATGTTTTCAGAACAGGTACCGCCGGTATCGAGTATTTGGTATCGGTACCGGCTTGTCCTTAGCATTCAGAACCGGACGGATTTTCGACCGGCCGAAAATTTGAGGGGACGCTCTGTTTACGCGGAACCGTGCAAAATTTTCATTCTGTTCAAATGGAACTGACAACCGGATGGAGTTCTCGGTACCAGCTTTGATGACTTAAGTCGCAACGCTGCAGTGTAGCCACATTTCCTTCCACTCGTTCCATTTCTCAGCGACATTGGAGTGACTTATATCGAGAGAGTGAGGCGCAGGCAACGATTGAAGATAAGCCATCGGCGATCAAACCACTTCGAACACCATGTAAAGAGGACTTTATGTTAAAAAAGAGTTTATTTTAATACTGTGACAGACTGCAAAAACCGCGAATGTGCTTATTACTATAAGATTATCTACAGGTGCTGAGACCACGGAGGAGATACTCGGTAATTTAGTATAAATCTTAAGGAAAGTGAATCGGGGCTGGTATCGTTGGCAGCGAATGACGCCATGAGAAAAGATGACACTGGTGAGACAATCTCGACTCGGCTGAAGTACGGCTTTTGAACTGGGCCCAAGGACAATGTAAAATTAAGATCAACGCAAACCGACCTACCGGTACCTCCCCCGCAAATGAAGCCTTTTTATTTTTTATCTTTAGAGCAGCACTGAAAACTAAAATCTAGTTGCACATTCAAACTTGTTTATAATCACCTGCGCAGCCGGCTACTTTTGATTTGCGAGTAGACTGTGAGACAAATTCTCCGTTGCGGGTACTGACACCAGCCGTAACACACGACTTTGCATTAGCTGCCCAGGGCCCGGTTGTTCTAGATCGAAGTCGGATTAGCGCTAACCCAAGGGTTAAATTTTGATCTGGGTTTCTTTATTACCTTGTTCAAAAGCCTTTTTCGGACAGTTTCCTCTATCCTCTGTAGGGCATCCAATCATCAAATTCGGTAGACAAAAGAAATGGTACGGAATTTTCTTTCAAGGCCTTTCAAATCTGAAACCAGATTTCACAGTCCCTGTGTTATCTTAACCCAGCTTTGAACAACTCGGCCCAGGCTTCCAACGGAACGGACCTTTAAATGTTTGTCATACAAATTATCCCCTATATAGCTCCTTAACAATTTATTGTAAATCAGTTACGAGCATTAGTAGTACTTTATTATTTCTTTCACCATCTTTCCTTACTATGTACGATATTTTACCAAACTTATCATAGATTCATTTAAAAAAAAAAAAAAAAAAAATGAAAGAAATACCCACCAGAATGTAGCAAAGCTAATCGAGTCTGGTGGTTGCAGACAATATTAAAATATATCAAGGAGGTTGGAAATAAAAATTACAAGATTACAATATTGTTAATTTAGAAAAGTGGAATTGATTCAAACAAGTACATGATTATGAGTAACAACGAAGCAAATAAAGTAAAAAGCATGATTCGTTTTCGATAGGTTATTAATGTACATAGATGCTCTTTTAGTTGCCTAAGTCCAGCAGTCATTTGAGCAACAATCGTTTTTTTAAAGAGTTAAATAAAAGAAAAAAACACGACAACTCTCACCTGATAAGTTTATGCATTCTCATTACCCTTTGGCCAGGTAATGTATTGTTATCATATGGAAAATTTATATGTCACTCACTTCGGGGATTTAAAAGGTTGGTAAAGAAGACCGGGCTCTTTTTGTACTCGTCTGTTTCATTATGAAGGGGCTCTAGTCCGTTGGAGCGCTTTAACCGAAAGTAAATTCGGCATGCACGCTGTCAAATTGAGGGATAAATTTCAAAATAATACATAACAACCTACACAGCGCGCAGAGTTGTGGCAAAAGTGTAAGAGAATAAAACATCTACTTCTCAGGGCGACTTATTCACTTAAGCCATTTTTCTTTAACAAAGAAAAACGAGATATCCTCTTCGTTGGAGATTAGTAAACATGTTTTGTTTTGAAGTCTAAGTGGCAATGGTTTCAGAAAATCCAACAAATAATCGTGCAAGAAACAGTTAACAAATCATTCTTTAATCATTTACGTTAGGCGACTCCAACAAATTGTTTAAGGTACTAGAGCCCATATTCTACACTCTTGAAGAACTCTCGACCTTTCTTTTCTCAGTAAACAAGTTCAGATTTGTAATAGCATTACACATTGCAGGTATGTCGCTGCAAAATTATAAAATCCACGGGAGGGAATTATGTAATACTTGCAAACCACTCTCTATTGATATAAACATTGAAAAAAAAAAAAAAATAAATAAATAGGTTAATGGAACTTTTCCTCCCCTTTTCACTCCTTGTACTGTAGCTGTGCCGGTCCTTGGCTTTGGCCCTTCGATTATTTCCATAAAAATATTTTGTTTAGTTTTTCTATTATTAAGTGTTACTTTCCACTGTTCTCTCAATTGACATCGAACTCTTGGTCTGTATAAATAACGTGCGGTCTTCCGGTTTCTGATAGGGCCCTGAATGCACCCCCGTCCCCCCCCTCCCACCCCGAAGAGACTGACGCACCAGGATCATCACAGCTCTAAAGAGGAGAATCCTATCAATTCCCTGCGATTTCGAGTCATCTGGGTGTTCAAATACACCCTTCGATTCGGCGCCGAGCAATCCATGCGCCTAAATTTCTATGATTGTTTTTTTTTTCTTTTCTTTAGCAAGTTCTGTAGTTTGATACTGTCAGAAGGACACCCCATTTTCTTTAAATCGTCTGGTATGCTCGTCTCTTTTTGCCGCAAAAAAACACCAAAGATACGATCAAGAGTAAAAGAAGGACACCTCCGACCACTATCACAGCTATTTGCCATTTTTCAAGGCCTCCCGTAGACTTGGACGACGAACCTGTGATGATTGAGAAAACACGGTTAGCCATCAAACTGACCAGATCTATCCAATAATTCTCTCTTCTAATGGCTGGATATTTCCTTATAAGTTAGTTCAGAGAATTGAGTCTGGTGTCAGGTTGAACAGCTCCTGCTGACAAATTTATCTTGTCCAACATTCCCTTGTTGGATAATGTATGCGGAAAATGCGAGATGCAAGTCATGTTTACGGAGATTTATGGTCTAGAAACCGCAATTCCTTTTTTTCTTCTCCGTCAAAACAAAGAACTCTACGTAAAGTTTAGAAATTCCAAGGATAAACCTTCAAAACTTTCTCCATAGTCCAAGTGCGCAATTAATTCCACTTAAGGAAGCTACCATTTTGAAAACAACTTAGTAACCTGGCCGCGAACTCAAAGCCACGATGTGCGGCTCACAAACATCCGTGGCGTCCGATTTTAACTGAAGCTCTCTCGAACAAAATCCTGTGTAATTATCTAAAAAAAAAGGGGCCGATTACATGAAAAATCTACAACACATTTCTGTCTTAAAAAAAAAAAACACAAAACAATGTTCTCACCGATATTAATCAAAAAAATAAATAATGGGTCGTGAACTCAAAGCCACGGGGTTAAAATGAGGATCATATAAGACAACGAGGCGCATAAATTGGCTCCACATGGATAAAATTAAAAAAAAAAAAAACAAAAAAAAAAAACAAAATACATAAATAGCATACCTGTGGGTATCTCTAGAGTGTAAGGGATTTCTATGAAGAAAATGAATTATCATTCTCATTACCTGATTGACAATTAATCAAACGATAACTCATCAGCATCGTTATTATTATCACCACAAACATTACTATAACTATCATTCATCATCTTTATCCTCATCATCATCCTATCATCATCATCATCAATAGAATCATTATAAGTATCACCTTCATCCTCATCATCATCCTTATCATCATCATTATCATTATCATCATCATCCTCATCATCATTATCATCATCATCATCATCATCATCATCATCATCATCATCCTCATCATCACCACTTTATCCTCAATAATATCGATATAATAATCACTTTCTAGCAGATATATAAGTTTATCAGGATGCCTTGGTTACCTAGCAAAGATTAGCAAAAACAGGGCTGTGGTCTAGCAGCACCCAGTAGCTCCTGGCGCCTTCCTTTTACTCTTGGGTGACTCAGGAATCTTAGTTTTTTTTATAAAAAGCATATGCTGAACACCCTGGATTTCACAGTTTCAGAGCACTGGGCTCCCTTCAATTTTTTTTAGAGCACAGCCTTAATAAACCTGCTATCGCAATACTAGAAGATGGGAGCTTGACATGCAGACTGTGAGCTTTTTCATCACCTCCCCCTCCCCCCTTACTCCCTCCAAAGCAATGAGAATAAAGCAACTGTTCCCAGTGCTACTCTGCCAGAATCCTGTCACAACTAATAGGAATAATAAATCTTGAAATAGCACTAACCTGGTGGAATTCCACATTTTCCAGGACAACAGCATTCACTGGTTAATGATAAATACTGTTTGAAGATATAATGAACAAAAACAATCTCTGAACATATTCATGGTAAAAAAATTGTGAGAGTAAATTAATTTGCCTTGCACACTGTCGATTGAACGACTTATATTTAATTTTTTTAAAGTAGTTCATTGAAGACTTGGTCTTGTCAAATGATCCCCAGGCTGAAATTCTCAAGCCGTCAATTGAACAACTACATCTGCTCTCAATTCACTTTTCCTTTAACAACCTTTCACAAAAACCAAGGTACATTACCGTATTTACTTGAATAAGCGCCGCCCTCGATTAAATGCCACCCTCAAATAAGCGCTGCATCTGGGACAAAAAAAGTTAATAAGCGCCACCCTCGAATAAGTGCAGCACTCCCGAAGCAGTGCTTATTCAAGGAATTCTGTATAACCAGGAAAAACGCTATAAAACAATTTTAACACAGCATTGGGAATTTATATTCTTTGAATGTGATGTTCTTTAGTTCAAAGTGACTGTATTTCTCTGCTCGGGCTATCATGAAATGCTCGGGGATTTTCACCGCATGAATTTCTCTCGTAATTCTAGATTTACTATCAGTTTAGCGTTAGTCCATAGGAAATTCACAGACAGAAAGTGTACCATTGAATAAAAATATAGAAAAAGTAAATTTGTCTGGTACAATTTTTAAATAAGCACCGCCCTCGAATAAGCGCCACCCTCGAATGAGCGCCGCACTTATGGCGCAAAAAATCAAATAAGCGCTGCGGTGCTTATTCGGGTAAATACAATAATTGTCTTGTTTGTTTGTTTTTTTTTTGTTTCGTATTTTGCAATTTTCAGCCAATCACAGTGCATGCATGGCCTCCCTGCATTTTGAAACAACACCCCACATAATTATCTGATTATCAAGTTCATGGTTTTATGTTTTTTCCCTTGTTCCTGGATATCCATGTCTCATGCTAATCACAAATAATATGGTTTCTGATGACATTATATAAAATATTACTGTACTGTCTTAAACAAAGAGATGAAATGTTGAAGTATGCCTTTTCAGTAATAAATCACAGACTTCTTAAAAATGAGATAAGAACAAAAAAGTGGCACACTTAAGGCCCGGCCAACTGTATCACACATGTTTGATTTTAAACAGGCCCAGTGCAACATGCAATCTATTTAATTTATTTAGTAACCAAAAAATATGTTCTATTTAAATGGTGATCTTAATAAGGTGTGTAAAATGCAGCTTTAATCAGCTGAAATAAGTCTCACTTTTAAAAGCAATTGGGTTAATTGAGATAATGCTGTCTCCTGAAACATATCAATACCTGTGTACTTACGTAAGTATCCACTTGGATATTACTGGTGTTAACATATTCAAAGAAAGTCTCATTTTGTGGTAAAGAGTAATTGCAAATCAATGATATCACAGCCCTATGTCCACTTCTCTCATCCCTTTTAACACAAACAAAGAGGAGAATTCAATACTAATTGAAGCAAGTGTTGACTTGGTTCAAAAATCAATGATAATTGTCGTGGTGATACAGATTATCATAACATCAATAACAATATTGATATACTTAGTCTAGTGATGGTAATGAAAATAACACGAATATCTTATAATGATCATGAGAATGACAATCATTATATCATAACCACGAAAAATTATGATGATGGATTCCCCCAAGGGTGATCACCAGTAAATACAGGGTTGACTGTAAATTACCAGGTTAAAAGCACTCACCTGAATTTAAGAGTTAGATTTGACTTGATGAATTCATTGTGAACATCCATTTCAAATTTTCCACTGGCCTCATCACCTAAACTATCACACTGGTGAGCAGATAAGTTGGTCCATCTGGCAACCTAGTACACAAATAGAGATCAATAAGTGTCTATATGTACAAACAAGCATTCAAAGCTCTTACTAAATAAGCGCAATGTGCATGGGCAATAAATCTGATTGGGAAATAAAGAGGTTCTGTAACACGAAAACGAGATTGCAGGTAGCTAAGATATTTTAGTAAGATTATATCTTGGAGTTCAAATACAGACAAAATAATTTTTGAATTTAGAGGGTGGTACAATGAAATACAGCCTGCAAAATTAACCAATCACAGTGCAACTGTACTAAGAGGTGTAATAAAAGTGTTTATCGCCCTCTGATCTGTCAAAAACCTTTCGAGTATTGCATTGGTGCATCATTGCTGCCATTTTTTCTTGCCATAAATAGCAACCCTCTACCAAACAAACAACCATGCATTCAGAGTTATCTAAGTATTTTATGTAATCCTTGGATCTCAGAAGCCAATAGGTACTTACTGAAGTCTTTGAACAAGAGGTGGTGCCTGTGCTGTTTTCCCCAACAAACGCACTGAATTCACCACATGGACTATAAGATATGTACCAATCGTTTTCTGTCTTACTGGTAAATCTACAAAGCATTAAAAAATACATATCCATTGTGCATCATAATCACCTGACCACAGGACCTTTCCATTGATCGAGTTGGCCATTTTCAATTTCTTAGAATTCTAACATGTATATGGAAATGGTTGATTCGCAGATGGTAAATGGGCCGTAAATGATAGACTTACCTTTTACTTTCACTAAATGACTTCTTGCAATTGGTATTTCTTGTTTTTAAGATCAAAGGTTTTACTGTAAATATTTTGACGACGCAGTACATACATTACTAACTTTAGCCTGTTCTTTACAGATGCCTATTACTAATATAAACTTCACACTTGGTCATAAACGCATTATGATTAAAAAACCAAATAAATACCGTTAAATAATTGATTAAGACTATGTTAGTAAGTTGACATGATCTAGAGCAAGCTAACCGTTCTCCGCAAAGATACGATCGATGTTAGAGGAATAGATCAAATGATCTAGAAACGAGTCAATTCAATCGGAAAGATTTCCATAGAACTCTATACTATCATACTATCACGAAACAGAGCCGGGCAAGCGTTCCATAAAACCCCATACATTAACTATGCACAGACTGTTGCAAAGAAACCTTTATATTTAGTCTTTATCAAATGAATGCATAATTAATGTTGGGGTTATATGGAACTCTTTCGGAGAGCCGTGGCTCGAAGTTAAGGCAATCTATTGTTTTCGCTATTGATTTGTTTTCGCTACTGATCCAAGAACTGTGTGCATAATTAAGTGAGGGCTGTGCGGAAATCTAGCCTTCAGTTCACTTTAAAGTGTTTCAAGTCAAGTATTGATTCTCCAAGGAGAGCTACGACCGAAAAAAAAAAAAAAACGAGAAAAGAAGCCTGAAAAATCCAGACTTTAACAGGATAATTCGAAACTGAGCCCCCAGTGATAGCTAAGCGCAAATGCCACAAGTTACGAAGTTTTTCGAAAGTTTACGAAAACAAGTGTTCTTAAGAGTTTCCGTCAGCTAAGATAAACCTTTACACAACGAGCACAAGACATACCTTGGCGAAGAAGAATTTATCTTAAGTGGAAGAAGGTTGACATATCTCCTTGTGTCATTAACTGCTGGAAAATAGCACGCGCAGCTCTCGTATCCGTGCACAGGGATGCATTCACGCGCGCACAAAACACAGCTGATTGTAGCCAGTAACATACAAATAGCAAACACTTGTTTTGAATCCGCCATCCTAAATGTAATCTTAAGAGCAGCCGTCCTTGCAAACAGGAGATGTTGAGGTGTAAAATCTAGGAATTACATTACCAACAGGGGCAATAAAAGGCTGCGTCTCACGTGAATAAACTCCTGACAGTTATTATCATAAACCACCAATCACGAGACATGTAAGATTTAGATAATAAAAAAAACACATGACACCAAAAATAATGGCATAACAAAACAAAATGCACTATATTAAAATTTACCCTTAAAAGCCATTTGTTTAAATAACTATTTCGAAAATTAATGATTGATCGAAATATATGAATTCTTGATAGGGTTAACTTTTACTTTTTCCAGGAAAGTAATCTCAAAATAGAGATTTTTTGTTTCCAGAAAGACATGTTCCTGTCATGTGATTGGAAATATAAAGCGAGTTCTCATTGGTCAAAAGGAATCTCGTAACCAGATCCTTTTGAATCGAACGTAAACAAGGGTTGACAACGTGTGTGCGTTATCAGTTTCCATTTATTGCCTTAAAAGCGCTTAAACCTGGGGTAAATTCTGAAGCTGGAATGCGAAAAAGGAAGCGATAAGTATCAAAGAAGACATTTCTCTAAAGATTGGAAATTGTGGTTGAATACCGCAAAATGCTAAACTGTGTTTATAATCGTCTCAAGGAAATTAAAGTATTGGCCTGATGTTGGGCATTTGATCTGAGGAGGTTGTATCGAAAAAATATCTTCTTTACGGGATTGTCATTTGTTTGAAATGGAGGAAAGTTGCATCGAACGACAGGAAGAAGAAATGCAAGCTCTTCAAGCTATTTACATGGACGACTTCCAAGATTTGAGAGAAAAGGTAATTTATCTGATTTGTCAAATTAAGTTAACTTATTAGAGATGAAGTCTTGGGGGCTCGCCATAAGCGGTAGGGAGCTGTTTGCGATCTTGCCTCCTAAATCATAACGATGAATCATATACAGCGCCTTAGGTTCAGTTTTTCAAAAAATACTCAGGAGTTCGTCTCGATCTGATTGACTAAACTGTGCCAACTTCAAGATCAGAGAGTAGTCTCTTCGGAAGGGATATCAAGACATCTTTGTATATGTCACTTTTACAGCGTGTTGGCGATCTTCAAAGTCTCAAAGACTAGTATTTTTAGGATGCCCCATCTATAACACTATGTATAGAAGAAATGAAGCTCAGACCGCATTTTCTCTTCATATGTGCTGACAAATCAATTATGCTTGCCGCTCTTTTTGGGTCTTGCTGAGCAACCTGGCTCTATGTCTCTGCGAGGCGTCATCCCTGTGGCTTCACCCCTCGTTTTTTCCAGATCTTTGTAAACTTTTAAAGCTGATAGGAGCTACAGGAAAGAAAATTTGTGACTGAAATAGTAATGTTTTTTTATTATTTTTTTTTGCAATAAGTAGGGTAAAAGTGGTTTGTGTTCTGCATGTTGTGGTTGGGCATATCAGTAGTAACTTACTAGTGAAACATTTTCCTCTCTTTTACCCTTTAGCACCCAAGGTCTGATTGCTAAATTCTCCTCTCTAGCTGCTACACATTTCCTTGTAAATTAGCTATAAGAATTTGGTGTTTGATCAAGGGAACAACTTCTACCTGATAAGTTTGAGAATTCCCATTTCCTGGCTCCCTGGATTATGTATAAATATTATAAAGAGACTACTTAGTACTAAATTTCTTCTGGGAGTTAATGCCGGGATAAACTCTAATCTGTAAGGGGAACTAAGACATAGTTTGTTACTAAGATACATATATAACTGCTGAAGTAAACATTAGTTTCATGAGAATTAAAGAAATAATGGCATTTTTTGAAAAGCTCATGATTTTTAGCTTAATTCTCCTCAGTAGTGGCACAGAAAATGTATGGACAACAGTACAGAGAATATGCATTCTGATGTTTGGGTTAAGTCAACTTAGTTAAAAATCATTTTAACCCACAACTTACTTAACATTGTTCTAGAATTGCAGCAAAAGCATTATAATTCATTTTGTTGTCCAAGTTAAGTGGTCCTCATTAGGTTTCTTAAATAACTTAGAGATACTTAGAATCCTGGCATTATTTTTGATGCAAAGAGGGTTWAAAAAAAAAAAAATGAGGATGAAAATATTAGGAGTTCTAGAACAAGGTTTATTGGACACTTCATTACAAGAGACAGCATTAGTGGCACAGGAAAATTGAAGGTCCTTGGCAATTGGGTCAAAATTTTCTTGCCAAATTACAAAATTGACCAGGGCTGACTATTTTGTTTTAATGTGGTGCTGATATTCATTATGTCCTCCTTTAACTTTACACTGTTTTAGTGTTGCTACCTTTCTTACTGAAAACCCTGCATTTACAAAGTAACATAATTATTATTTGTCTTTCTATAAAGCCTGATGAACCTCCAAAGGTTTGTTTGAAGTTGACTCCACTGCAAAGTGTTGTGGCCAAGGAGGTGTATGCCAGAGTTGATTTGATCATTCAGTACAGAGCAGACTATCCTAATCGGCAAGTGTACAGACTCCTTTTAATTATTTTTGCTTACAATTTTAAGGGAGTTAGAGAACTGAGAAGAAAAAACTGAACAATATTCAATATATGGATCATAAGGGATCCCAGATTAGCCTCTTTACTCTAAGAGTGACTGGCATCTAACTTCTTATTACTATGTCACTCTTTAATCATAAATGATCAGGTTTTGGAGCCTGCGTGTAACCAGTTATGTCATAAAGCGAAAGAACATATTTTTTCCTTGGGAGGTTTGGGGAACATTTGGAATTCTTATAAATCACTTGCTTTGATCAGCTCATGATTTATAAGCTCTTTAACATCCTGTGTCAAGTTTTCTCTTGTTATAGAGCATGGAAAATTGTATTCCATAATGCTTATTGAGTCATATGAATAATAAAAAAAGTGTACTCCTTCTTTTGTTTTGGTTTTAGTGATTTTGTCTAGATCAAATTTTGTCATAGTTTTATCAATTATTTGATAAAATGACTCAGTGTCCTCCATTTTTATCTGTAATCATGCTCGTGATTAACAAATCAAACTCCCACTTCTTATTTTGTTTTCTAAATTACAATGTATATCATGGGAATTTCCCAAAGTTTTGTAGTGAAAAGACAACCACTGAAGACTGGGAAGGTAGAAAAGGTAAAATATTGCCGATTCTTGTATTCATGATTGACTGCTCCATGCCATTATTAGGAGTCCAAAGCTCTCTCTGTGTAATGCTGAAGGTATTTCAGAGGAAGATTGCAGTACGCTTCAAAATGAGCTTCGTAAGATGGCTGCTGATCTTGTTGGTGAGGTAAGCTACATGTGTACCATACTTTTATGTTTTTATGTTAAACTCATTCAGTGCTTGACAGTTTCATCATTGATCTACAATTTTGTTCAGATTTGTACTATTTGGAAGTGATTTCACCCATACTTGCTAAATCCTTGTGGTAACGGGGAAGTGCAGTGTTCTGTGAACGAAGTTACTATTAAGGTGGCTGAACGCAGTTTTTGATACCTGTGTTTCTTTCAGCATTTTCTCTAAAACCCTTAACCTCAGTCACCAAAACTGGTAGCAAGCAAGTTGACAATGCAAGCTTTGTTTTTGAGCTGACGTATGTGCCATTGCCATGACAACATGAATAAATATAAACAGGCCTTCAAAATTGGTTTTGTTTATTTGTAGAAAATCTAGTCATTAGATTTTCTTTATAGTTTGCATGCAACAAGCTCGTAATGATACTCACAAGTTAACACCATTTTGCTAACAATTTAACTGAGAGGTCTTTAATTATCCTTTGTTGAAGGTTCCCTCGATTATCTAGAATTTCCTTTGTTAAAAATCAGTTATTTTCAATACTCCAGTTACTAGTTTCCTAAAGTATTTTAGTGCCAAATTTTGTGAAAATCTATTGAGTGGTTCTCAAGAAATAGGCGTATTTCCGAGAAAGCAATTTTCCATTCCTGAAATCGCAATTTTCTTACTTACTATGCATGTGCTGCATTTAACTGGGTTCTTTTGGTAATGACGAAAAAGCTGAGAATTGCTGGGTTCTTTGCACCGTTTACTTTTCCAACATGTCTTTGAAATTAAAGATTAAAGCCCTCAATACACTGTGCCAACTATAGAGAAAAATAACACAGATAGTGCGGATTCGTATTGAGTAAATAAAATGACCGCTCTGTTGACGGCATATTTGTTTTTTTGCAATCCTTGTGCATGCGCTGAATTGCATCAGCAAAAGTGCGCGCGAAAACTGTGTTCGGCCACCTTAATAGTGATGTAACTGTATGATTAAAACAGGTTCAGCATTTGCAACCTTCCGTGGCATAATACTAGTTCTCTACTACAATCTCTCTTTTAAGTCTCTCTCAAATTAGTCACATATACTGGAAATCGCACATGTATTGTTAGCTACGTGTAAGTATTTTTTTTATACAGTAACTCCTTAACTCCCAGAAGTGATTAACATGTAACCTCTCCCTATAATATCCCTACATTATCCAACAAACAGGTTGATTTTATCATTGTCATTATTACATTTGCTTTACTTAAATTTCATATACTGCCATGCAGGTGATGGTTCTGCAATTAGCACATCATGTTCAAACGTGTCTCCACCAACACAACAAACCGCAGTTATCATTTTATGACAAAATGATGGCTGATAAGCGTAAAGAAGAGGAGAGAATCCAAGCTGCAGAGCGCCAAAGATTGCAAATGGAAATTGAAGCTAAGAAAGAACGAGAAGAAAATGAGGCAAGAATCAAAGAATTTATCTTCAAATATCCAAAGCTTCTATAAACTAAGGATTATTCTGCATTTTTTGTAAACATCATCTATATCATTAATTTTTGGCATTAGTGTGATCATTTTTCAATAAGGGTATAGAAACATAACTTTTTCAGCACCAAGATCTGAGTATAAATTCTCCTTAATGTTTGCCATACAAGTTTTATGATCTTTGTTTGGAGAATTTGTTCATATTGAATCTCCTTATTGATATTTTTCTTAATTCTCGTCACTTGTCTCCGTGATATTGTATCGATATTGTAAGGAGAAATTCTGTCTTGGTCACTCTTGGGTTAAAGGGTAAAAAAATTTGACAAAAGTAAAGTGAGAATTATCAACTCATTGATATAGCCGATGATATACCGCTACTATTATAATTTATTTTATTTCTAGGAACGAGAGATAGAAGAAGAGCTACAAAGGAGAGATGAAGCTATGAAAGAGAGCAAACGACGGAGAACTGTTGTTATTCCAGTAAGGATTGCATTGTTGGTACTGTCAGTGTTAGCTTTATTTTAGAGTACTTTTCGATTGTATGTTTTAAAGACCAAGATAACGAGAACGGCCAGTCCTAAGAAACGAAAATACACGAAAGAGCCAATAAGAACTCAAATGTATAAAAAAAGAAAACTGTCCAAGACACGGGAAAACGCAGGCGACCAAGTCGTGATTGGTTTCAGTTTGTACCTGATTGACTGAGAGAGTGGCGCGAGTTTTCTGGACCAATCACAGGGCAAAGTAAAGTGAAAGCAATACATGTTGTGGTTCAAATTTTACCTCTGGTTTAATTTTTTCAAACCAGTTCAATTTTTTTGAACCAGTTTAATTTTTGTAAGGCAGTTTTCAATCAACGGTCTGAAAAAGGGCATTCATTTTTTGGGGTGTGGATTGAAAAATGGCGCTTGGCTTTTTACGGGGGAATTCTGAAAAGAAGGACGTCAGATAAAAAACGAGATTTCTCCGTTATCTCTCATCACCGTATTATTCCTTACTCTTTTCGACGATAGATTTCGTTGACAATCTCGCCACTTTTTACACTATTATAATTTATTAGTCCCAGGCTCCACTTTGCCTGGTCAAATTTATTATTAATATATTCGTATGCTTACACGCATGCGCTTTTGATGCAAATTTGGACTTCAAAAGAAAAAATGGCAGAGAACTCATGCGTCTCAAAAGCAATTTTTCTTCAAAAATTACACGATTTCAAAGCGGAACAAACCAAAAATGAATCGCTAGTAACTTTGTCTATCGACGACAGTTTTTTTGACAAGGCAAAGACATATTTAAAACAGCAAACAGAAAAGTCCCTCAGACTAGATTTAGGAGAACAAACCTACTTACAAATGACCAAATGGGAGATGGACACAATCAAGCGAAAGAACTGGTCCTATGAAAATGATTCGCTGGTAACGAAAGATAAAAAGAAAGTAATCCCCAAAGGACAGCTTCATAACGTTTTAAGCCTTGCACACAAACTCATAAATCACCGAGGAAGACAGATATCCAGCAAATGGATCAACAATAACTACAGTGAAGTCAACAGTAAAGTAATCAGCCTGTTTGTTGCTTCATGTCGTTTTCACGCTGAACAAGAATCTATTATTAGTAGTGTGAAAACGGTAGAAAAGCCCCTTCAGTCTCCGCATTTCCTTTCTCTTGTTGAGATAGACATAATAGATTTCAGAAACTGTCCATGCAACGGGACAGAACTTCATACTTGGGCGATTAATATCATCGGTCATCACACCAAATATGTTTATGTTTCACCACTTGTAAACAAAACTGCTGATGAAGTACTGAGAGCCATAAAAACGTACTGATACACATTATGGTTTCCCAAAAATGATTCTCACTGACAATGGAAAGGAATTTAAAAGAAAACTGAAAAAATGGAATCATTCTGCTAGGAAAATTTGCAAGGAATTTTGTACTGCTTGTTACTTAAGACTCAACAATAAAATTTATGTGTTGCAAAAACATTATTTTAGTACTTTTAAAGAAAAAAAAGAGCTAGACTTATTCAAACAGTTCAAGGTTTTATTACTTGAATACACTGCTACAATACATTCCCTAACCCTAACCCCAACCCTAACCCAAACCCTAATCTTAACTCCAACCAGTAAAATGAACATTTGCTAAAATGTGGACACCTTAAAAACACATCTTTATGTTATTCAGAGTAAATTTTACATGTAAAACATCAAATAGATACGAATGAGCTGTGCGCTTAAAAATTTTAAACCAGTTTGAAAATTCTAAACCAGTTTAAAAAAAATTAAACCAAAGGTAAAATTTGAACCACAACATACATAAATACATACATATATAGTATTACATACTTTATTTAACGTGGAAATACGCTTAGCTTAAGAGCTAGTTCACAGGTATTAATCCCGGATGACTTTTGACACTTAATTGAAAATTTCTCTATTAGGCTTGATTCATGAACTATGTGGGCTTTGCTTGATCAATAGGAAAAGAACACTAAGACAGATCCGGCAGCCCAGAGTGCAAAGACGAAAGATCCTGACACCAGCCCAACAAAGGAAGTGCCAGTTCAGAGAAAGCAATCTGGAAATTCCGTGGCACCCTTGCAAGCTGCCCCCTCGCCCAAAAAGGCAGAGGGAATGCCTTCTGGATACAATGTCATGAGACGAAGGCGGAGCTCTGAAAGACTGGGTGATGAATCCTTCACAGGAACACGAGTGATCCGCTTCACTAGCAGAGGAGGGCACATAGTGCATTGTGGAAAATGCCTTGGTAAATGATACTGGTATTGACATTGACCCATTACCTATTACTGACTCAGTTGGAGGGGGGGGGGAGGGGCAGATGGGAAACTACAGTGTTTGGCTCAAGTTCATGACGTATGGACCGAGGGCAGGAGTTTTGTGCGTCATGGCCGAGGGGCAAATGTTTTCCCTTCTTGAGCGACAAGGGTCTGTACTTGAGCCAAGTGGCTCATCAGTGCCAATGAGCATGGAATGGAGCGACTAGGAGTATCATTACTCCCCCCCCCTGGATGGGATGCTAGTCCATCGTAAGGTTACCCCCCAGCATTTCATTAGCTTCCCTCACAATTCGCTGGTAGAGAGACATTGTGAGAGTAACCCGGCCAGGTCTCGAACCAGGACCTCTCGACTTGAAGCTCATGACAAACCATTACCTAACCGTGTATATCATGTGGCCACCAACGTGTGCTTTAGCCTAAACAGGACGCTATTATACACACGTAACACGGGTGCGTGCTGGACAACTACCAAGAGGCATTTCACAAAAGATCTTGTCAAGCTTTCCCACTTTAGAGAAATTGGTTTTAGATCAACGCAATTGTCACCTCGCTTCTACTGCCGAAAATGCGGCCAGATGTGGGCAAGTTTGATAAAGCTAAGTTCACTGGTAGTTTGAATGCTGCTCAGGGGATGGTACACCATTTAGGTGGTGAAAACACTGCATGTACATGTGATCGTCCGACTCTTGCAAGATAGACTTTTCAGGGATTCTTGTTCAAGGAAAGAGCGTAAGTCGAGGCTGTTTTGTTCGTGTTGCAGGGCAGGGATCTTCTGGTTCAAAAGTTTATAGTGGCATGGACATCACCATGGGTGATCTGGTTGTGATGTGTGAGTGGATCTTGTCGTCACTTCATGCAGGACCTCAGATGCGACGCACACCGAGTATCACTGAAAACCAGCAACAAGATCCACAAACAAGACTCATGAAACAGGTCTGGTTATTAATTCAACTAATTCATGTTTTTTTTTTCCTTGTGATTAATTTGAAGTAAGAACACATAGGTGACAACTAACACGATAACAGTCTTTCCGATATGACGTGGGAACTAGTCAGTTCGCCTAACGTGAGAATTGCTCCTTTTGTATCTCGTTTGTTTGTTTGTTTTTTTCTTCCCTGTCCCTTTACAGGGTTTTTCCTTCTAAAACAATCGTCACACGGTGCAACATTACAGATTTCCAGCGTAATCGAAAATACATAATATTTTTTGCACAATATTTTTACTGTTAGGTATTCAGTATCGAACAAGAGGCTTTGTCCCTCATCAACCGCGTCAGTCATCCAAACCTTACTCATTATTTAGCCGTTGATGTCCAGGAAGAATCTCCTACAGTCAAAGTCCAGGTATTTAATTTATAATAAATATTGATTTATTCTCATATTACCCTTGATTTTAAAATAATCTCACCTCTCCAGTTAGTTCACGAGGAAAATGGTTTTGAAATTTGGTATACTCCGGATATAGAGGTCACCGTATGCGACTTTTGATATCGGCCCCATCCAAACTTTTGAGTTCGAAAACACATGATACTCGGAAACACATGATATTTGGTGCGTTTCTTCCTATCGTCCACACTAGAACGCCCGAAAACGCTTACGAAAATAGCTTGTGGTCTGCTTGGTCTGTATTCTTATTGACAAAGACAGTATTAAAATGTTGTGGACTCATGAAGCGCAGCCGAGTACTCTTTGTTGCGGAATGTGATGGCGATTGTCGTTGTCGATTAGAGTACAAACCACGTTAAATCACTTTGGATTTGTTAATTGGCTCCAACCATAAGTACAGTTTTCTCTCACCGGACCCCCTCTCCCCACTTTTGTTATGGAAATTTTACCCGTGCGTAAATCCCCAGAATTATGCCTTATTTTCGCCTTGTATTATTTTTTAAGTAAAATAGTTAATATATATTTTTTATATTTCCTTTCTTTCTTTAGGTTTTGTCAGAATATGTTGGTGGCGGCGATCTCAGTTTGTACCTCAGGAAAGGAGGGCTGCCTGTGGCACAGTTACGAGAATATACTCAGCAACTTTTGGAAGCCCTGTGCTATCTTCACAGCAGGGCTGTGGTCCATAAGGACTTGAGGGTGAGTGAATCTGAGAGATGCTAGGTTATTAATTCATGACACATTCCTCTTGAAATCATCGATTTTACCCATGAAATCGCCTGACGCCTGTTGCTCTAGATTAACTCCGTCCCTTTCGTTTGCAGTTATCTAGTTGCCGTCTTGACTCGGACGGAAATATACGACTGGCTGACTACAGTGTTGGGAAAAGGTGGGTTTTCTTCAATAGGTAGATTTGATAAAATTCGTAATGCAGAACTGTTGACTATTCTTACTAAAGGTTCACCATTTAAGTCTATTCAACTCGTCTTTCGTTAAGTGGAAGGAACATTTTTTCAACAAATTCCTGCAAAAGATATAGAGTTAATTAAAAACTTTCAGATTTTATCAGGAGATCCCATCGGTTGTGATATCACTTCTGATTTTACCTTAAGAAACATCTTAGTTTTGAATTTTTTTTTTCCCTCAGTGCGCTTTTACTTTCCCTCTATATTTCTGTACGTAATGGATATGATAGATGATGTATCTTTTGAGACGGAAGCTTTGGAGCAAGAGAAAATAGACTCATTGGGGCATTCTTCTAAACTCAAGGTTAACTCTACCCATTCCTCCGCACCCCTTTCCCGACCCCCCTCTCCCACCCCCCTCATGGTCGCGCCTATGACGGTTCCCCGTAACGCCAGCAACCTATATTTATCCCGGGAGGCCCAGGGCTGGGTCAGTTTAGTTTTACGTCCACCGAAGAAACAACTTAGTTGTTACAAGAGTTAGGACGTTCCCGTACTGCAGACCTGAAATTTATTGTGATCAAATGATATTTCAGGCTGTCGGATCTGTACCAAGTGTATGGTGGGAATGTGAAAGATTCACAGAGTAACGCTGCAGAGGAAAACAACAAAATAACCTCTCGTTATGGAAAGAAAGGAGATGTCTACAGTCTGGTAAGGGATACATTCATGAAATCTTGATCGTGAGCCTATGAAAACCATAGGTATCTCTCTATTTTATTCCTTAGCCCAATCTTCAATTTTTGAATGACACAGTTTATCTGTGACACCTAGTTTCACAGTCATTTCAGCTCCCAGTTGGCTTGTTAGCTCAGCTGGTAGAGCACTGCACCAGTACCGCAGATATCATGGGTTCAAATCCCGTAAGGGCCTTAATTTCTTTTTAGGTCTTGTTTTCAGTACTATTTGAGTAGTGTTCAATACTGCAATGGTCGCTTTCATATTCATTATTGAACAAAGCTTTCAGTACTGCGTATGATAATCAAAGGCGAAAGGGCAAACAGTACGAAACTGCAAGCAAAACCATGGGCGGAGGTTAGGGTTTGGGTTAGGGTTAGGTTTAACTCCACGCAGAAGATAGGAAAAATGAACTAAAGCACGACAAACAAGTTAAAAAAATGACCGTGAATATATCAAAAACCATATATGATTACTGTGGATTTTGAAGTGATCTTCGCAGTAATGAGCAGTACTTTCAATCGACGGTAGTGAAAATAAGGCCGGACAAAAAAAACCAAGTTTGTACTGCTCATTACTGCGAAGATCGCTTTCATATTCATTTCTTAATCGGCACATTCACGTAGGTGAATTTTTTTATTCCGTCAGGGCCTGCTCGTTTTCTCTTTGGCTGTCGGAGATGTAATCATTGGAGACGTGAAAGAAATACCTGCCTCGTTGCCGCCGGAACTACGAGACTTCCTTTCCAAGTAAGTGATAAACCTGAATTCTATCAGAGTGTACTCATTTTCCTCCATAACAACCTCCAAGAATTCAGTACTGTTTTGCAATGGCAGTTTAGCTTCTTAGCACAACTTGTGAGAAATGGTGGTGACGTAGCTCACGAAAGAAAATGACTCACAACGATTAATATGTATACGTACTTTTTATTAACAAATGGTAAACACCACAGCGTACACTATTGAGTTATGGATGCACGCGGGAGGTTGCTAAGCACGAAAGAAGCGTAAGAGTCGCTCGAGGAGATAGCCGAGAGCGACTCTAGCTTCTTGAGTGCTTAGCAAACCTCCCAAGTGCATCCATAACTCAATAGTGTACGCTGTGGTTTACCATTTTTTAATTATAGTACTGCC